GAAGGAGGTCCTGATCCCTCTATATAGATCTTTATTATCACTAGAGGGATCTCCAGCAGGAGGAAGGAGGTCCTGATCCCTCTATATAGATCTTTATTATCACTAGAGGGGTCCCAGCAGGAGGAAGGAGGTCCTGATCCCTCTATATAGATCTTTCACTAGAGGGGTCCCAGCAGGAGGAAGGAGGTCCTGATCCCTCTATATAGATCTATCACTAGAGGGATCCCCTGGCACAGATCTTCCATTGTGAGAGGGTTTGAGGTGGACATGTGACCGTAGTGATGATGGTGACCGGTGATTTTTCTGTCCTCTGTCTAGAAGCGGGAAGCGTTCTGCCAACTGCTGCAGCTGATGAAGAATAAGCACTCCAACCAGGATGAGCCCGATATGATCTCCGTCTTCATAGGGACCTGGACCATGGGTGAGGCCGGTGGTAACACTCCTGTACAGGACAGAACCCCTTATTTTCTAATCCCAAAATCTTATATAGAAGAGCGCCCCCTACTGATCAGCTTATCATATCTTATATAGAAGAGCGCCCCCTAATGATCAGTTTATCATATCTTATGTAGAAGAGCGCCCCCTACTGTTCAGTTTATCATATCTTATGTAGAAGAGCGCCCCCTACTGATCAGTTGATCATATCTTATGTAGAAGAGCGCCCCCTAATGATCAGTTTATCATATCTTATATAGAAGAGCGCCCCCTACTGTTCAGTTTATCATATCTTATGTAGAATAGCGCCCCCTAATGATCAGTTTATCATATCTCATATAGAAGAGCGCCCCCTACTGTTCAGTTTATCATATCTTATATAGAAGAGCGCCCCCTACTGTTCAGTTTATCATATCTTATATAGAAGAGCGCCCCCTACTGTTCATTTGGAAGTTTCTGATTTCTGTATGGCCCCTTCCCCAGAATCCTCCCATTAATTCAGGTTGTATAGATGTCCCTCCGGAATTGCACAGCGCCCCCTACCGTTCACTTTTGATATCACTTCAGCGCCATCATGGCGCTCCCTGTGGTCGGGCGCGTCGCCATCGTTCGCCTCTCTAATTTGTCCCATTGTCCTCCTTTTTCGCAGGAAGTGTTCCTCCGCAGAAAAACATCACTTCCTGGATCAGCAGTCAAGGTCTGGGCAAGACTCTGGACGAGATGGCCGTCACCATCCCTCACGACATTTACGTCTTCGGGACGCAGGAGAACTCGGTGGCCGACAAGGAGTGGGTGGACTTCCTGCGGGTGATGCTGAAGGACTGCACGGAGGTGGACTACCGGCCGGTACGTACCCGGGGGGTCTGCTGCCCAACTCTATATAACTCGCCAACAAACATCTAACCGTTCAACTAATCCTAAGCAAAACAGCTGAATACAGCAAGATGGCCGCTTTAGATGAGACGGCCGGGGTAAGAGCGACCAATCAGAATCTCACTGTGTACGGCCCAACTCCGGGCTAATATTACAAAGAAATAGCAGCTCGGGACGGAGCACTCGCCTTTGTTTCAGAGCCGTCTCCTGCAGTACCCCTTGTTTGCCACAAGATGTCCTCAGTCTTCTGGGTTGAATGATGCTCAGGCCTGCATGCCCCCTCCCCCGAGGACC